ATGTAATTGAAGTATCCAACAGTCTTAAAAATAAAGGTTCCAAAAGAAGGTCAGGTGAAAACTTCTTTTTAAAAAGAGTTTTCTTAGTGTGAGGAACATTTAAATGACCCTTTTCCACTATAAAGAGCGTATAAAGTGCAATGGTTGAGCTTAAAAGTTCTTCGTTGAACCCTGCACTCTAAAATATGCTGGGTTGTTTCAACCCAAATTTGGGTAGAATATGGACAAATCCAAATGTTGGGTTAAAAATGTAATAAAAAAATGTACAGTTGTACAGTTTAAACTTTTAAATTACGTTTTAACCCAACATTTGGGTTTGTCCATATTTGACCCAAAATTGGGTTAATACAACCCTGTGTAAATACCAATTACTAACGCTTATTTATATTAAAGAAACTCAGTGATGATGTGTGCTGGGAAGTGCAGAAAAATCTAAACTATCTGTACAGACAGTAACTTTCCATAATTAGTGTTCGGCCAGTGCCAAGTTCATTAAACGAGAGTCTCTGAAGAGAGAAGGAGAGAGCTCTTTGTGAAGCTGATCACGAGTGGAGGTCACACATGCATAAAAGTGCCATTAAAGAGAAGGCAAGGTGCAATCAACCTGATTTGAACAGGACAGAACAAATGTTCAATTGATATTCAGGTCGTGATGACGACATTCCATAGATTCTTCTGTTTATCACCCGAGAGGAAGAAACTCTTTTTCAGAGCAACCCTCTCTCCAGGTCATGTCCACATTACAGACAAATATTTACTGTGGTAACCACAGTGTCTACCAAAACACTGTTATTTACAGTAACAAGAACAACACATTGTATATCCCACTACTGTATAGTATGTTTCATATTTATTTGTCATTGTATAAAATAAAACTGACAGTGCCTTCTAATATAGCATACAGTAAATTTTTTTAAAAATTGAACAAAAAGTCCCTGAAAGGTTAACGCATGTAATGTATTTCGCAGGTAACTGTGGTTACCGTGATAAATCTTTCTAAGGGTGAAAATTCATTATATAAGGTTATAAAAACATTAGTTAGCCTAATATAATAATATTCATTTAAAATAGCCTAATAATATAACTTTTTTGCTGAATTGTTGGTCCTCAGCTAGATTCCATTTTCTCATAGGAAAATAATTCATAAAAGGGAGATAAGATGATATAGTGTTTAATAATGTGAAAATAATTTCACATCTATGAGCATTTGGGTAGTCTCACCTCAAACTGTTAAAAATATATATTTTTTTCTTTTGTCCAATCAACTTAGATAATTTATGTAGTTCAGATAACATAATATTTTGAGTTTATGGTGATTAAATTCATCTCCTTCATTGTATTAACTCAATTTTTCCATTTCAACGAACTTAAAATTTGAAGGCAACCAGATTACTTATTTTTTTAAGTTAAACCAACAATATATTTTTTACAATCTATCAGTAGCTTGGTTGAAAAATGTTCTCAGTTTTTTTACACAAACTGACGTGCTGACTGCATTAATGGTGCTCAACTATTACCAGAAATAAAAACTTATTTATTATTATGTAATTATTTGGTCCATGTGAGATCGTGTTTGCATATGCAAATTTGTATTTTATTATAATGTTTATCTAAACACCCCTTCCAATCACTATTTGCGTAATAAAAACCCTCTATTCGTGGAAAGTGGCATTTAACTCATTTTTGCCACATATGTTTGCTGAATTTGTGGTTGTCAGCTGTATTTCTCGATGTGAAGATTTTTAAACGTCACATTTGTATGCACAATTATTAAGCACACATTGATCTTACCTTGTATATGCTGATTAACTACATTCTCCAGTCGATCCAGTCGCTCTATAATCCGCAGAGTTTCTCCTTTCCTGTCGCCTTCCAACTTTTTGGCTGGGACAGGCATCGGCACTTTGATGTACACATTAGCGATGTAATTTGTCACCCATCCTACGTACAAAAGACACACTATGTTGGTCATGCCACTTAGTATCACACATGTAGACACCAAAGTTTTGGTTCTCCTGGTGCAAGCCATTCCGACATCCCTCCATATAGAGTCCGAGACACAGCGGACAAGTGCGCCTGTCCTCAACTCTGTATGCGCTCCGAGGGAGAAGCACGCGCTGCTTCGGTCCTCGCTACTGACGCAAACACTACAGCCCGTGCTGCATTCTTCTCACACAGATTCCAACGACTCGAACTGTGCAACTATCGTCTTGTTCCAACACGACTCGCCGCGTCCTCCATCTGCAGCGAGGAGAGTGAAGGTGCGCGAGTGTGTGTGTGTGTGTGTGTGTGTGTGTGATTTTGATCCTGAGCCTGTTGACCAATGAGATGAGCTGTAATCTATGGGACCAATTGCACAATGATCCAGTAACAGTAAGGAGGTGCTTTATGAAGACCGAAACTCCCAAATGCTTCATATATATATAGTATATATATATATATATATATATATATATATATATATATATATATATATATATATACTTTCTCAGTTTGTGTAAATATTTAGGGTTTAGAGTATTTATTTTTTTCCACATTAATTTCCCACATGTCTAGTACAATTATGTGGTTTTGTTTATTAATACAGTGTATACTTTGTTCTTGATTTACCTTGAAAGAATGGAAGTGAAATTTGACAACATGCCCCATAGGTGTGGTACATTGCAACATGTGAGGGGCGCATTGTAACATCACCATATAACAGCTTAAAATGCTATATGATCTAATAAAAAAAATAAATAAATATATATATATATATATATATATATATTTATTTATTTTTTTTTATTAGATCATATAGCATTGTAAAAATATACGCCCTATGTATATATATATATATATATATATATATATATATATATTTATTTATTTTTTTTATTAGATCATATAGCATTTTAAGCTGTTATATGGTGATGTTACAATGCGCCCCTCACATGTTGCAATGTACCACACCTATGGGGCATGTTGTCAAATTTCACTTCCATTCTTTCATGAATGTATATATATATACATAGGGCGTATTTTCTTTATAAAATACAATTATTAACTTTTTCATGTTGTTATGTAATTATACATTTAAGTGCTGAGTAGTTATAATTAACTACATAGGGTTAGGATTAGGGTTTGGTTTAGGGTTAGTTGCATGTAATCATGCATCATTTTATATAGCAACTGCATGTGTTACCAGTGTTACCAAAATCCCTTAGTTTTCCCTGTCTTGTGTTTGTCGTTGTTAATGGTAATTGTGTGGTATTCTGTTCGGTGCATACTGTATTCTTATGATTCTTGGTCGTTTATTTTGCTTCTTACGTCTTCTTCGGGTTAAAAATACACAGCATTGTGACATTTGTGCATTATTGGCGTGGATTGTGACTCTTTCTGAAGTTTATATCATTACTCCAGCACAGCAGGTGGCGACAAGTGTATGATCAGTGAGTCGCTGAATAGTTCACTCCTCATTTGTTCATTAAAATCAAAACACATTTTTTCAGGAACGAAACAACAATCGGGATGACATTAAAAAAAAAATAATTTGATTAGCACAATAGATGACAAACTGATCAAATTACAAGTGTCCATGTTTTAGATTGTAACAACAGCCGTTATGCTTGATAGTTTAAGAACAAGCTGTTTATTTCTTGTAGACTTTGTTGTAGCTGATAAATATAGGAATATCATATACACTTGAGATATATATCTAAAAAAAAAAAACATTATACAACAGAGGGAACAGGATTTTGGCACTTAGGAAGTGTTGGGTTGAGGGAAATCATTATTTGTGCAAGAAGCCAAGCTAAAGTTAATAGTGGCACTTGTAAGGAACAATATGTAATTGTCTGTATAGAATCCATTAGCATTGTGCCCATATTTATGCAATTTGCCAAATTATTTAGATTTGAGAATTCATTCCATTCAAGTTTTGTTGGAATTTAATAACAACAATAATATGTGTGTATGTGTATGTAGCCAAAGTTATCAACAGTCTCAACAACAACACAAAAAAATGTGCAGGATGAATAAAGGAATAAAGATCTCTTGTATTTTATATCCACCCCATGGGTACAGTCTCGGGAAACTCACAAAGAGCCATATGGATTTTATCTCATTATATAAATCCCAGACACGTGAGCAAATAATGTTTGATTCTACTGGGACACGAATAGTGGTGCTCGTGCCATGAATAGCTTCAAATGAATGAGATACCATCAAAAATCATAGATAATGCAACATTTACAATCACTTTATGCAAGAAAAAAAAAAGGCTAACTTGGTCTCTAAATAGCAACAAGAAAGAAATGTATGGAGAATTGATTTACATAAGCCATAAGTTTCATGTTGCATATATACACTGCAAATCCACTTCCAAGCTTCACAGCAGTGTGTGAATGTTGCTTTTACAATCATCAGCAGACAACAGATGGAGTGTTTCACAGAGGACCCCGGCTTCTCTTCTCTATAAATCAATCAGTAAAATGTGATTCCTCGTTTTAAAAAAGTAGATAGATACTGAAAGTATATTGGAAGAGCTAAGCAAATTATTTAACTTTTTGGTTTAAAACAAGCGGCAACATTCTAATCTGAAAGATGAAGCCTCCTAAAGAGGAGCCACGGGCACTGGGGAGGGTCACTGAGAATCAGCACGCACCACCCCGAGATACTCATAAAACCAGCCTCGAGGGCTCGGGACACGGTGGAGGGTTCCACTCGAGCCCTGGGAAAGCATGGCCATGGTCGTCCGTGGAGATGTCTGACCCACCCTCCGATGTAGAGATCGACATCTGGTTGTAGCGGAGAACACCAATAGAAATGACTGGTATCTCGAGTATGATCCAGCATGTTCAGTGGGTAACTCAAATGGCTGTGGAGCGTAAGAGGAATGAGGGTTCCTAGGAGGTTGGTTCCCCGAAGGATGCAGGCCCATCATGATTCTCAGGTCCTCCCTTTTGCAGGAACGAGAGTCTCGACCGTAGCTCCGAGATGGTCATCTTCCCACAATGGGTTCATGACTCATCCACGAACGCTGCCTCAGCGTGTTCAAGGCCCAGAAACACGAGGCAGCGATCGTGACCATCCCGTGACCCCAGGTAACGACCACATCCAGAAACACACAGATAGAACTTAATCTTGAAAAAGACAAAAACTATCTGTGTAATTTTTTGTCAAGTAATTTTAAAGTTGCATTCAAAGGGGAGACCTAAGATAATACACTCAGCTGAAAATTGCATTTATAAGTTCACTTATCTGTTCTAAAAATCCGTTCAAAACTGTGATGATGTCACACAATAGCAGAATGCTAGCGTGTTCCGGCCAACAACGGCCTAACCTGTAAGAAATCAAAAGGACTTAAAGGATTAGTTCACTTTTGAAAAAACTTTTGCTGATAATTTACTCACCCCCATGTCATCCAAGATGTCCATGTCTTTCTTTCCTCAGTCGAAAAGAAATTAAGGTTTTTGATGAAAACATTCCAGGATTTTTCTCCATATAATGGACTTACATGGGAACCAGACGGTCCAAGGTCCAAAATACAGTTAATAACAGTTTCAGATGCAGCTTCAAATGTCTTTAAACGACACCAGACGATGAATAAGGGTCTTATCATGCGAAACGATCGGTTATTTCAAAACTTATTCCAAAAATGTAACTTTTCTAAGGACAAATGCTAGCCTTGCTCTCTTCTGTGAGGCGCGTTTGCAACGTCACGTAATACGTAATTACGTTCAAAAGGTCACGGGCGACGTAGCCGAAAGTACAGAGTCAGTGTTTACAAGTTGAACGCATAGGTTGAACGTGCAAACCAACTCAAACACCGTTTACAAAAAAAGGAATTAAAAGGAAAAACAACGATGTCGGACGATTTTGATTCTGTACTTCCGGCTACGTCGCCCGTGACCTTTTGAACGTAATTACGTATTACGTGACGTTACAAACGTGCCTCAGAGAATATAGTAAGGCTAGCATTTGTCCTTAGAAAAGTTACATTTTTGGAATAAGTTTTGAAATAACCGATCGTTTCGCATGATAAGACCCTTATTCATCGTCTGGTGTCGTTTAAAGACATTTGAAGCTGCATCTGAAACTGTTATTAACACTATCTTTTGGACCTTGAACCATCCGGTTCCCATTGAAGTCCATTATATGGAGAAAAATCCTGGAATGTTTTCATCAAAAACCTAAATTTCTTTTCGACTGAGGAAAGAAAGACATGGACATCTTGGATGACATGGGGGTGAGTAAATTATCAGCAAAAGATTTTTCAAAAGTGAACAAATCATTTAAGTACTCGTTCATTCGACTTTTGGCCTATAATCTATATTGAACTTGCGGAATCAACAATAAAATCTATGTTGATTTAACGACAAGCAGGTGAAAGAGACACATTTAGCCGTTTAGCCCCATAGACTCCCATTCATTCTGCACTCGCCCGCGATCACCTCCAGTGGAATTCTAATGGAACTGCAACCAAGATGATACACAATGGGGCTAATAGGAAGTGCCAAGGCTCTCCGTTAGACGGGCTCTGGTTTCACTCAAAGTAGATTGGCCTCTCTAGTGAGATTCCTATTGGTCAGTCATGACCTACGTTGTAGTGACTGACCGATAGGAAACTTAATTTAGTTGTTTATTATAATCATTACTATAATATAGAATAATAGCTAATTACATTTTCTAAAGAAAAGTGAGCCACAAAGGTGCCACAACAATACTTTTTTCAGAGTGGCTAGGGTGTTCAGGTGGTTGCTATGCTGTTAAATGTACAGTAAGAGTATGCACTTATCAAAAGAAGTATTTATATCTGATGTGACGCTTATAAATTTGTTTATGTGACCCAATATTTTCAGGGTAATTTAGTCAAATATATAACATTTCTAACCTGAATAAAAACCAGTTTAGATATTACCACATTTTAGGTTGCCTGACTAAACATTATGTGTAGGTGTTTGTGAGGGCGTTCGGGTGGGTGTCAGGTGAATGTTCCTAGCAAGTCAATAAAGTCCACCCCCAAGTCTATGTGATATTCTTGTCTCTAGATCTGGCTCAGGTTCCTCCTTCAATATAAGCCTGCAGGACTAATCATCTGCCAGTTGAAAATTGCACTCAACATTTTGCACGAAACTGTGCAGGACAAGTAACACATTGGGCAATAGCAATAGTGATGCTTAGCATTCCCCACCAATGATTACGAAAAGTACTTGGGCAAAATAAAATAAAATAATTTGTATAAAGCCCGAGAGAACAATGTTTCCATTCAGTAAAAGCTCTATCATGTTGACTGTGGCAGAAACGTTGCAGTCTGATTCAGAATGACACTGATCTCCCCCTTCTTTGTGTTGAAGCTGATATGTGACACTGCAGCAGTATAAATGCGTGTTGGCGTTTTCCCCACCGCAGGGGAACAAGCATCAGGCCTTGTCTACAGCCTTGAAGTGGGTGGCGCAAAAGATTGATGCTAGTAAATGTGCTGTGATGTACAGAATACTCCTGAAATATAAGTACCAAGCCCTAAAGGGGGTCAGAGACTCCCCAGTGCTTCATTTTGTTTTTAATCTTTTGCTCTTCCACCAGTGCCCTCCACTTACATGCTTGGTAACTCAACATTTCAGTTCTCAGTGAGAAATTCAAGTGTGAAAAGGATGCAAGCTAAATAGTACATTAATTTTGGTCATGCTAAACTACAGTATTTACCCACTGCTTAAGAAACCCACTCTAAATCCAGCACTGTTAGAAAACTACAGACTGGCATCCCTTCCATTCATTGCAAAAACACTTAAACGAGTCGTGTTCCACCAAGTCTCTATAGCCCCGAGTTGATCCCAGGAAATTGCCGGAAAATTGCCAGAACGCCTTCTGTGTGAACGCAAACACGACCTGGGATTGATTCTGGGATTGATCCCGGGTTGGGGACCTAGTAACATTGCCGGAATCAGTCCCGGAACGCGCGCTGTGTGAACAAAAGCCAGGACCAATGTCGTAAAGGGTGTGTCATAGTGATGACGCTCGTGCAATCGTGCGACCCTGTTGCTCTTAGAAGAAAGTTTGTGTTCGTCATCAACAAAGAAAGGACGAACAAATGCCTGCAAACTGGAGCGAAGCAGAGACCAGGAGCTCCTCGCTATCCGTACTGAAGCTGAGATCGTTCACCAGCTTTGTGGAACGGTATGCGCGTGTACATGTTTTCGACGCCTCTGTTATACGTCTCATCCTGACGTCATGTGTCTTCCCGGGATTTTTACGGGTTGTGTGTGAACGCACTCACAGATCCCGGCAAATCACTTGCAGTGTGAATGAACCGAAATCAAACAATCCCGGGACAAATGCTGGGTCACATTATCCGTGTATTTTCTGGAATCTCTTTGTGAAAGGGCCTCTGTAACGGAGGCCAGCTATTAGTTGCTGTGCAAGTAAACCTCACTCCTCTGATCTCAATAGGCACTAGCGAGAGATGCTAGGGGCTGCAGTCTTTAGCCTCCTTGTTAGAGCGACTGACTCTCATGCCGGAGACCTGGGTTCGAGGCCCGTAGGACCCGGGTGGAGGGGTTACATTGGTGCCGTGACCCGGACGAGAGTGAGGTTTAGGGGGGTGAGTGTAACGGAGGCCAGCTAGTAGTTGCTGTGCAAGTAAACCTCACTCCTCTGATCTCAATACGCACTCTAGCGACAAATGCTAGAGGCTGCAGTCTTTAGCCTCCTTGTTAGAGCGACTGACTCTCATGCCGGAGACCCGGGTTCGAGGCCCGCTCGGAGCAGGTCGAGTAGGACCCGGGTGGAGGGGTTACATTGGTGCCGTGACCCGGACGAGAGTGAGGTTTAGGGGGGTGAGTGTAACAGAGGCCAGCTAGTAGTTGCTGTGCAAGTAAACCTCACTCCTCTGATCTCAATAGGCACTCTCTATAGAGTGCCTATTGAGATGTCTATAGCACAATAGATATACGCTAGAGGCTAGTCTTTAGCCTCCTTGTTAGAGCGACTGACTCTCATGCCGGAGACCCGGGTCCGAGGCCCGCTCCGAGCGGGTCAAGTAGGACCCGGGTGGAGGGGTTACATTGGTGCCGTGACCCGGACGAGAGTGAGGTTTAGGGGGGTGAGTGTAACAGAGGCCAGCTAGTAGTTGCTGTGCAAGTAAACCTCACTCCTCTGATCTCAATAGGCACTCTAGCGACAGACGCTAGAGGCTGCAGTCTTTAGCCTCTTTGTTAAAGCGACTGACTCTCATGCCGCAGACCCGGGTTCGAGGCCCGCTTGGAGCGAGTCGAGTAGGACCCGGATGGAGGGGTTACATTGGTGCCGTGACCCGGATGAGAGTGAGGTTTAGGGGGGTGAGTGTTACAGAGGCCAGCTAGTAGTTGCTGTGCAAGTAAACCTTACTCCTCTGATCTCAATAGGCACTCTCTATAGAGTGCCTATTGAGATCTCTATAGCACAATAGACATACGCTAGAGGCTAGTCTTTAGCCTCCTTGTTATAGCGACTGACTCTCATGCCGGAGACCCAGGTTCGAGTCCCGCTCGGAGCGGGTCGAGTAGGACCCGGGTGGAGGGGTTACATCTATACAGAACAACCTCCTGGACAACAACCAGTTTGGTTTCAAATAGTAGCCACTCAAATGAGACTCGGTTATTGAAGCTCTAAGACTGACAAAAGTAACTTTCAAATCCTCAGTACTCATCTTGCTGGATCTGTCTGCTGCATCTCGGCCTTCCTGTAAGACATTTCTTGCTAAATGACTACTATCAACTCAACCTTGCAAAGACAGAACTGCTTGTGGTCTCAGCCAACCCAGCACCTCCTAACCCATTCAGCAAGGTTCATCAACTATACCAACATCCAGGACAGCCAGGAACCTTCTAATTGTGATCGATGATCACACTTAAATCACTACTGCAGACTTATGCCCTCCAGAAGCTTGCATTCTGCAAGTGAACAGTGTCTTCTTGTGATGCCATCCTAAGGCACACAATCATTTTCACAGACGTTTCCTTGGACTGTTCCCTGCTGTTGTCCTGCCTAACTCAACCCAAGCTGCTGAGTCTTTTCATTTTTTTAAGAAATGGCTAAAGATGCGTATCATCTATTTTTATTTATAAAATTGCTATGTTATGTTTACTACCTGAGACTTGTCTTA